GTTCCGAATTAGGATTTCTTTCTGGCTGGTTTCTTCTAACAGACTCTACACCATGCCTCTCTCCTGGCTTCTGATGGCTCCTAGGCAATCTTTGGTTTGTAGATAAATCACTCAGTTTTCTGCTGTTATCTTGAAATGATGTTTTCCCTGTTTCACTGTCTTTTCATTGATTTATCCCTTGTGTGCAATACAAGGACATCAGTCATGTTAGATTAGGGACCAGAATAATGATGTATTCCACTGGGTTACCTCTGTGAAGACTCTATTCCCAAATATGGTCATGTTCTGAGGTACTGGAGGTTAGCGCTTCAACATATGGTGGTGCTGTTGTTTTGAGGGGGGAGGTGACACAATTCCGACTACAGATTTCATAGCTTCAAAGCCACGACTATATTGTAAAGGGTGATCAGAACTGAACAGTGTTCTTTAACTGCCTTGAAAGCCTCACATTTCTGAGAAACAGGTGAAGGACTGGAATCATAAACAGACAGAGGATTTGGCTGGTGGTGCCTCTCAGAAGCTAAAGATACAGGACACTACACCACAGCTGAATTTCTTTGGGCCCTTTATCAAAATGCTTTTAAAGCCCTCAAGTTAATTTCATCCCCCTATATTATATAAACTTTTATTTTTGTCTCCTGTCAGTGATACCTAATTGAGTCCCTAAAGTGCAGTAGATGTATATATTTCCCTTTCTGGCAGCTATGAAAGATAAACCTAGAAAACAAAAATAAAGGCTCTGTGCAAAGCTATGCATCATGGCCTTCATGGCAGCTGTCGGTTTATGGGGAGGTAATTGGGATCCTTTTTGTGACTTTGAAGCCCCAGGGGAAAGGGAATTGTCCATGCAAGCAAATCGGATTTGAGAATAAAACCAATATTTTAGAAATGAAAAACATCTATATTATCTTTTAAAGCACATATGTCAGATGAGATTTTAACTTTGGGTATTTTGCCAGATCATCACTATAATAGAGAAATGAAATAAATTTTTTATAAAACAATAGAATCTCAACATTATTGAGTGTAGATTTTAGGTTACATGCTTCCAGACTCCAATCAGTACTTGGGCTTGTAAGAGCGGGTCTTCCGTCTACACAACAATTTGGAGGAACGGGGAAGTATAGTTTAGGAATAAAGTGATTATATCATTGTATTCTTTTCTCACTTCACCTTGGAATCATATGAACCCGCCTCCTTATTCAATTCAGGCCAGTGGACTTTTTATGTTCCTGCAGGTTCTAAAATTGTGTGCATTTGTTAAAGTTAAAATTATGAATTCTTCTTTCACAAAAAAATGTATAATACAAGTCTTTTGAAGTTTCTCTATTCAGGAATCATTTTCTATTGTATTTATTGTTGTCTTTCAATGGTGGGTGCTTAGATCATTTTTCCTTAGCACAGAAGTGAAATTCTACAGATTAGTTACAAAAAACTGAAATACACACAGAAACAATCAGGAGGGTATCTGGAATTTTTGTTCAGTGGAGGCTGAAGCAGAATGAGTAAAGCATCAGGAAACGACAAATGGAGAAATGCAGTAAAAGGAAAACACTAAAGCTCTGTGATAGTTTACCATGTTTCCTAAAATTTTACAATGAGGAGTTGCAGTGCTAACCACTTATTTACCTGCTTATTAGCTATTAGTCTCCTGCAGTAGCCCTGAAGTCAAGTACGAGTTTCAGATTTGTGCTTAAATTTATTTACTGCCCATCAGGTTGGGAAGGTAGTAGCGTATACAGGTCAGTCCTTTAAGAGTCTGGACCAAAGCCTGTGAGTTTTTAGCTAAATGCAGAGGGACAAAGCAAAGGGCTTTGCCCAATCGGTTCCCGCCCCTTGGCGTCCAAGGAGCTTAGGCAATGAGAACTCCGGGGTCAGGGGCACTGTGAGCTGTGATTCCCTTCAGAAAAGACATTGAGATCAAAAGCAAAGCACAGAGCTCAGCATGGCGTGCTAGTGGGAAGGTGAGGCACTACAGATGCACTTCGGAGCGGAGCTGAGCTGATCGTTACAGTCAGGGAAAGGTCAGATCTTGCAGCAGTGCAGTGCCAATTCAGATGCCAACTCCAGGCCCATTCCAAAGGGGACATTCCAGCTGCTTTTCATTATCAACGCCAAAGGGGCTTTTGTTCTTATAAATAAGGTTGACAAACAGATTAAGCCCGAGCAGGTGCAAAGAGCTTACTTACTCTGTCCTGAGCTAAAATTATCTTGGCCACGACAGAACTCGCCTCACGGTCTGATGATGCTTTTCTTCCTACACATGAAACTTGTGCTTCTGCATTCTATGCTCAGGGCTGCACAAGCAAATGGAGTGGTGAAGCGAGTTGTTTTACTTTAATAGTGATTATTAGAGCATTCACAGACTGTCCCATCGCTGGGGCGAAGTCATTTCAAAACTTGGTGTTTGAGCAGTCTTGGCGAAGTTTGGCAGCTTTAGTGGCGATCTGCCATTCTGAACAGCTCCCCAGGCGCACCGGCCCAGCTGCTTCCCTGAGCTGTGCTATGGTGTGATTTTGAAGGGTAGGATGAAATTCCAGCAGCCAGTACTGTGTCTATAAATCACAACTGCCACTGGAGGAACCAGATTGTCCCCTGGGTAAAAGAAAAAAGGAGTTAATATGCTAATTTGAGCCTGAATTCAGCCCCCTTGCTCTTTTGATTTTCATGTTATTTCTCTCACTTATGCCTGCGCACTCGTCAGTCTGAAAACCCGTTAGCAGAATGGACAACCAGCTGTCTGGGCGGTGGCGGGGGTGCGTCCTGACAGAGGCAGGATGCAGATTAGGTGTCCCCAGCGGCTCCTTCCTATCAGGCTCTGGAACCTGGCTTATCTCCCATAAACTTGGTTCCCTCTGGAGAAACTTTAAAAGAGGCTTTGTTTTTGCCAAGAACTTCTTTTGGTTTTCAGCTTAATTAATAGTGATGCAAAGTAACCGAAATGAGCTATCTGCAGTCTGTGTAAGTGCTGATTTGCTCCTCTTATTTGGAAAGATATTTATATTGAGCTTAGCAGCTCAGAAGCACCTAGAAGAACCACTGCACACACAAAGAATAAAATAATGTCTAGATGTTCTAAGGCATTTCCCCCCTCCTGTTTATCTCTAGGATTTATTTGAGAACTTTTAACAAACTAAAAACTATTTTAATCATGGGAAGCAAGCAGGGCAAGGTATATATATCTATATCTATATAGATATAGATATAGATATAATCATATATTCGATTTTAATATATTTATTAGTATGTTATATATTGTTTATATTATATACCTTATTTAAATATAGTCCATGAAAAGAATTTCACTTAAAAAGAAAAGTAGGTCTTCTTACAATATTTAAGAATTTTACTTATTTTAAAAAAAAGTGATTCCACTCTATGGCACGTGCCAAGGGTGCAAAAATAAATTAACCTCATATCCCCCGAAGAGTTTCCCTAGTGGGTAGTCGAACAATCGCGGTGCTGTTTAATTGGTAAAGTAGTCACGCCGCGGCGCAACTGGAGTATGTGATAAGCAAAGATCAAAGACAGCTTTACAGAGGCGGAGGCCGTGCACGAAGATGAATAGGTCCGTGGAACAGGTGAAGGAAAGCAAAGAAACGTGTGTGAGCCAGGATTCAAGCTTGGAGGAGAGGAGGGAGCCGCAGTGAAGGGACATCGCTGGGCACATCTGGTGCGTGTAGAGCTACGAGCGTGCCGTTCGAACAGGAGTACGGATTTCAAGGAGAGATTCCTGCTACGCAAGATCGGGACGGGAAGCACATGTCAGACGAGCGGAGTAATAGAGTATTTTTATGTTTGATGTATCACCTGCTCCGTGACAGACACCAAGCTAAGGGCAATAGTATAAGCAGACTTATACTAGAAAGATTACGGTGGAAAACTCTAAATCTAAAGGTGCAAGGGGTGAGTCAAGGCATTACGGTAAAATGTGCAGCAGTAGCCTGTTTAGGACGCACACCAGGCTCTGACTTTCTCAGGCGGTCTCTTCCTCTGTCTGTTCCGCTCCCTGGCTGCTAAGCTTTGCTGTTCTCCCACCCTCAAGTCTCACCTCTACCGAGAGGCCTTTCCGGAGCCTCAGTGAGGTTAGGCCTATTTTACACAACCACAGATTTTTCTTCAGCAGTGGTTATGGAGCCGTCACCCCTTACTGTCCATACCCCGAGACAGGGATGGTGCTTTCTTATCTGGGCATCTTCAACTCATGGCAGGCGTTCTTTTGTATTTGTGTGTAAATAAATGATAGGCTAGGGAATATAATATTAAATAAAGGAAGAAGAAGGGTAAGAGGAAGGTTTCAAAGTAAGATTGAAAGAGCTGAGAGAGAGAGAGAGAGAGAGAGAGAGAAAGACAGAGGAAAGAATCTGGGATGAACCCTGTATCTCTAGCTTGGGTAATGAATAATAATAATTATGACAAGCATGGGGTAAGACTGTGTCTTAAGTTTGAATCCTACTGCAATAATTAGTTGCGTCACAGCTAAGTGACTTTCACTTTCTTTGAAAAGTTTTGCTAAGATTCGAATTGCCTTCCAGTATATTTTCCAAAACTTTTAATGTGGAATATTCTTGTAAAAGATGAACACGTACAATTTGGGCTGATTCTTCTTTGCTTCCAGCTCAGGAGATTGTGTGTGTTTCCGTCATATTTCTGGCATTCATCCCATATCAAAGCTAGGTTCTTTGGCATCTGACATGGTAATTTTTTAAAAATTTCTAATTCACTAATGACTTGTAAAAGTTGAGGGACGTTTTATCTTTGCAGTCATACCCAGTTTTGGTACTAGTCTGAGTTTAGATGTGAAAAAACAGAAACAGAAATAACATGTAAATCTATAATTTTATTGAAGTATAAAACTCTGTGTTTGTGAGACGTCATGCTAGTTAAAGGAAGATTTCTAAAAGCAGCAGGTGAGTTTTTGATATAAAAAACATCCATACAATTGTCTCATCGTTTATCCCTTTTATTTAAATGAATTAGTGTTATCTGTTTCTTTCCAGTTGCACACAGAGAAAAGGAAAAAGACAAAGAAAAATCAAAAGAAAAAGAAAAACCTGAAAGAAAAGGTATATGAATATTCTACTTTGCTGTTTTAATGTTAAATTCTGTTCTTTTAACTTCCCTTTCTTTACTGTCAGACTTCAGATGGCCTTATGTTTCTTCTTTTAAAATTATATTGTCATTTTTTTCCTTGTATTGATAGAATCTGAAAGGAGTCTCTGGATAGAAGGGGATAAAGTGCTTAAGGCTCTGGAACTCTGTTAATGCTTCACTTTCCAGAAAGGTTTTATCACCTTTCCCCTTGTGGCTTTGAGACTGCCTTAGAAGCAAGGAAAATAGTATTTTAGAAAATACTGGCCAGTTTTATAGATAAAAAGCTGATCTCATGACATCCACTCATGTCACCTCTTGGACCTCTTAGACTGCATTTGGCTGTTTATTTATTTAGAGGAGATGGGCAGTGTTCCACCTTGCCAGCCCCGGAAGGCCTGGTGCAGCCAGCCCTTCCTGCTCCTGCTCACCGCCCGGCTCCATCCCTCATTGGAGCATTATGTGCAGCCTTTCAGAACTTCACTACCTACATGGATGGCTAACACCACTGTCATTTACAATCCATAACTGTATTATATTAAATATAATAGTCTATTTTCCTAATAGAGCATGAACAATACTGATTATTGCTTCCCCTATTTTTATACAAAAATCTAACATGTCCTATATTACCACTTTAATAATTAAAAAACATGTCCTAAGATTTTTTTCCACACCAATAAATAAACATTTTCCTCCTTCTTCTAAAAAGGGTTCATAGTACTTAGATGAAGACATTTTTCTCCCATCAGACCTCTAGCTTCTTCTTATTGGTAGGCTAACCTGTTGAAACATGATCTTTTAGTGGTTGACATTTCTTCTTGTACCACTGTTCACACTCATTGCTCTTTTGTGTGTGTGTGTGTGTATCACTTTTTTTCTTAAATTTTCTCCGCTTGCTTTGCAATTGAAGTAAAGGCTCCTACCTGTGTAAATGCACGTACATAAATGCACACATTCATGCAGGCACATGTGTTCAGAGCCTTGATTTTCATGTGACAAGTTGTTAATATTTTCCTTTGGTATTTCTGGTTTTGAGGCTTCCTCAAGGATTAACTCAATAGGTACTATTCCATGAGTTAAAAAGAATTCTCCATATTTTTCATCAAAACTCCATTTCAATGTATGATGCTTCTTAAGCGTCTGATTTCATCTCCTGCTCTTGTTCTGGAGTGGACCACGTGCAGGGTGCTTGAGCTGTTTACCCACGCACTGTCCACGTGGCCTGCGGAGTGGCCATTTCTGACACGTTCCACTTAGGAGGAATATGGTGGAGGACTGTGATATTTATGAATCAGAACACTGCAAATACGCTTCAGTTTTATAATCATTTATATCATTTATAATATATGTGGAATGGAATGTTGAATGAAGTAATTATTCATTCATTCACGTTTACTTAATGGTACAGCCCATGAAATCCAGCAGAGCTCTCTTCTTGCTCTGTTTCAAAAACAGGTGTCCATTTCTCGTCTGCTGGTGAATGGTATGGAATTACGAGCTCTGGGTCCTATGCACCCTAACTAGATTACTGTTTGTTTTTTGTTTGTTTGTTTTTGGTACTGGGGATCGAACTCTGGTCCTTGCACTTGCGAGGCAGGTGGCAGAGCCACTAAGCTAAATTCCCAGCCCCGCCTAACTACATTAAATAATCTGAACGTTCTTAGGAAGGTTTTCAACCTTCACAGTAGCTTTTTTGTTAAAAACAATTAAGAATGTTGTGCTGTTAAATTATAAATGTTGTAAGAAATGTATTCAATTTGAAAAGCAGAAGGATGATGCTGTGTAGTGCTCTTTTCCTGTACACCAAAGACGACAAGAGGGCTGTCCCAGGCCCAGGGTGAGCAGTGGTGCTCCTGGCCCTCGCCTGGCCAGCCGCTGCGGTGGGCAGACTGAGTCCCTGGAGAGGAGGCATCTGTCTCTTGGCCTCCAACTGGACCTTTAGTTTTCGGGTTTCTATGAGGCATGCGTTCGGATAGTACAAGTTTCTGGGAAATGATTCCTGGACTGTATCACAGGCTGCCTTCTGTGTCTGTAGCAAAACACCACAGACTGGAGGAGGAAAATGAAAGTGGTTATTTGGGCTCCCCTTCGGGTGAGGTCCTTCCTGCTGCCTTATAGCCAGTAGCGTCAAGGAAGGACAACTTGATTACTCCATAACTCACTCTTGCAAGACAAGTGGACTCCTGGGAGAACTCATCCTGCAAGAATGGCACAGATGTACTCGCAGGGTGGGGCCCCAGCAGCCGCACATCTCCTGGGAGGCCTGGCCTGCTGACATTTTATTCCTTTTGTAAACAGAACTGATGAACCTCACTACTCTTACACTGCTGGAGAAATGGAAATGTCTGGGTGTCCAGTGCGGCTCCTTCCTCATTATTTAATTAAAACATATTTTTTATTAAATTTATTTCGATGTATTTAATTTTCCTGGTTATTCTCCAATAAATTGCATGTGAATGTTGAAAAAATGGATGATCATTAGAGAAACTACCAAATCACCCAGTTTAATACATTTGAAATATAAAAACACGCTGCACGTGTTACTGTACTTATCAGATCACTATTATTTAAACTACTGAGAGACACAGGATTTTAACAGTGCATCTAAATAAGAGATAAGTCAGAATAAGTGAATATGGATTCATTAACTTCATAAATAAATGAAAAGTTGTAAAGTGTTAGGTATCTTGTAGAATACTGTGGAGCTAGAAACTGAACTCTGTCAGTAATTCTTTTTTGAACCACTTTCCAACCATTACTAGTTCTTCACTAACATGTTACCCGTTAGGGAATATTGGGAAACATGTTTTTTCTTTGTTTGTTGTACTGGGATTGAACTCAGAGCCTTTGCGCTGACCTACATCACAAGCCCCTCTCCCTTTTGTATGTGCTTTGGAGTGTTAGACAGGCTGTCACTAAGTCGCTAAGTACGCAGCCTGGGCTTTATTCTCCTGCCTCAGCCTCTCAGACTGAGCCAGATATGCAGTTGGGAAGGTTTTGATCGCCAAAATGACAGTGGAGGGGAGGGGGCGTGGTAAGCTACTAAGCGTTCGCTCCCTGTGAGACAGTTCCTCAGAGGAATTGTTGTTCCACAGTGTCAACCATGCTCTTGTTGAGAAGAAGCATGGTGCCTAATCATCTTTATAGCCTGGATTTAAATATTTTTTTATATTCACCCTTAAAAGTTCTTCATGGTACAAAGATGTATTTTTCAATAATTTTTATAAAATTGTTCCTTCTTGGTTTTTCTTCCCTGAAAGCTTTGTATTTTTGGAATAAGACTTAGAAAAGAAAGAGGGTGGATCTAGCTTTCAAAATGTTTTCTAAATCTAAATGCCAGGTTTTACATTGAATTCTACATAGTGATTATCACACTGATAATTCTTTTTTCCCTGAAATAGATTCATCAGTGTCATAAATGTTGGAAAGTATTTTCTGATTTTTTGTGACTATAAAACTGAGGTCAAGAGAAAGCTTGGCTTTGATGTCTGTTAAATCTATATTCTAATGTAAAATTTTCTGTTTAAGCAACTCACAAGGAAAAAATTGAGAAAAAAGAAAAACCAGAAACAAAGGCAAAAGGTAACATTTCCTTTTATTATTTCCATATTTAAATTGTTTCTGTGATAGACTACATTTTATGTAATAGATATTGGTAGGCATTTGCATTTGATTTGCATAAAAATGAGCCTCACGTTCAAAATTTAATTTCTAAAGAAGGATAGAACTGAATAGGTAAAACAACAGCTCATCTTCAAACATGAGAGGAAGTCGAGCTTTGTTCTATGTGATGGGCTGGGTTTTGGTTCCTCGGACCTGCCCCTTGGTGCTGTCCCAGCAGTCTGTCTGGTACATGGCATGAGAAGAATTCTTGCAGGGAGTGGGGCATCATCCAAAAGTAAGACTTTACTGGATTACCCAGGTGGGCTTAACGTGCTCTTACAGAGTGTTTAAAAATAGTCAACACAAAAGAAAGATCTGAAGCATAAGGGCTTGGCCTGCATAAAAATTCAGGGGCAGCATGGAGCACGAGGAAGCCATGAATCCTACATCGTGTTGAGGAAGCTGAACCCAGTCTTTGGCAGAGACGCCGCTGAGAAATGCGGCTTGTTGACAGGTTGCTTTTACCTTGTGAGCCCTCAGCAGAGGACCAGGTTGGATCCTACGGAGCCAGCACTTTTGAGTCTTAGAAAGTGGGAGAAAATAAATGGGTGTCGTTTCAGGCAGCCAAGTTTATGATAAAATTGTTACCATAGCAACAGGAAACAAACATATCTGATTCTTAGTTTTTGATCATAATTGCAAATTGCATTTGATGTTTGGAGTTTCAAATTCAGAAATTCTTTCACAGATACATCTTGATCATTATTTTAATATGTCCAACACCAGGAAATATCTTTATGTTTTCTACCTCCAACTCCAATCACTTAGAATATCATTGTGATACTATGTATTTTGAAAGACTGAGTAACCCCAATTTTTCTAACATACATTCATCTGCCGATTATTAAATGATAAGAATGTATGGATTTTAACTGATGATACAATCTTATCCTCTAAATTTAAATATTTCCTCATACTTTAAATTATATGTTGTATGTGATAATTCTACTTCAGCTGTCTTAACCCAGCATGTTCAAATAATTTTGAAAATTCAATGATTATTCACAAAATATAAAATAGACATTTCAAGCAAATGCATTTTAAATGAAATTTCACCACAAGATAAATATTTTATTGAAGTGAAAATAGATGAATTATAAAGTGGGACTGTCAGTGTAGCACTGAAAACCCTGCAATGTCTGGTCTCATCCTGTTTCTCCTCTTAGGGTCTTTCCCAAAGTTTCTTTCTCCGCTATGTGACACCCTGTTTCCAGAATATCTTGGATATTTTCTATCTACCAAACACTGTCATGTGGCAAGTTCTACATTTTCCAAGTTTTCAATATGCATAAATTTCATAATATCCAATTCTCATACAAATAATGCCTCTGCCACTGGAATGAATCATTCCTTTCCCCTCAGCTTCCACTGTTTTTGCTTTCCTATTTTTAAACCTGTGTTTAAGGACAATTATAGAAGAAATGTGTGGTAAGGAGATGGTATTGCTATTTTTCTGTTTTTAACTGTGAGACTAAACCAAGTAGGTTCTCTAGATGGGCCTTTCTGGGATACACATGTATGAGTTATACAATTTGAGGTTCTCTTGGCCACCCCAGTGTAACGTCCTCTGCACATGGACAATTATGAACATCCACTGCAGAGTTTTGAATGATACAACTGGAGGTAATCCTCAGAAAGCTGATGTTTTATTCAGCCACAAAAATGTAAGAGTTTGATGAAGTGTAGGGCAGGAACAAGGAAAGGAGATTCAGAAGTGGTTTATAAGCAGTAGAAGAAAATCCCCTTAGTACAGCCACAGATTATGTGATATGAGTGATTGTTGTATGAGATTTTCACAACCAGATAACTTTGCACAGTGCGTGCAGCACAGTTCCCTTCCTTATCTTTGAGGAATTCCTTAGTAGAGAAACTGATTGTGTCTCAAATTTTATTTCATGGTAAGAATGACTTCTTCAGTAGGGAGACTCTCCTGACAGTCTCTGAGTACATTGACCAGGTCTAGTTAAGACAGTGTCACAATGATTCTGGTCTTGTGGGCCTGCTGGGATCCGACATGATCGTTCTTCTTCTCTCTATGGCCCATCCCAGTGTTATCTTGGTTTAGTCTCCACCAAACTCAAGAAACTGGACCATATTATTTTAATCAAATCCTTTTACATAAGTCTCAATAAAAGGTGCCCACTGCGTTGGAAAATTTCATGGAGATTACAACAGTAGCAGGCCTTCAGTGGGATATAATGGTTACAAATGCAGCGATGTGGTCCTTCCTTTCAAAGGAGACTCTCTCAGTGGGTTCTTTGGTATGGACACCTCTCTCTCCCATGAGCGTGCCAGTGCCCACATCCTTTGCATCTTACAAAAGTCCCTTTGGAACTGTTCCAGGCTAAGTATTTGATTACATATAATTTTTAAAAAAGCAAACAAAAGCCAATGTTCTCATGTACAAATTAAGAAAGAGGAAGACAGGTTTGTGGAGGTGGGAAAGGAAGAGAGAGGAGGGCTGGGAGGGGAAGGGAATTAAAATGAATAAGTTGCAATATGTAGACTGCATTAGCTCCCCAGGATGATGTAGTTATTGCCTATCGCAGTCATGTACCAATCAAAAATTATAAGCTAGGTGAAAAAATAAGAAAGAAATGATATTAAGCAGATGGGGTCTAAGTCTAACAGTATTTCATAAACTATGGGAAACTGATTATCTCATAGGCACTAGTTTCTGTCGTTTTTCTTTCCTATCTTTAAACTTGTGCTTAAGGACAATTACAGAAGAGGTATGTGGTAAGGAGAACCAACCGATGTTTCTTAATTCTGTACAGATGGGAAGAAAGCTAAGAATAAAGAGAAGACCGAAGAAAAGACGACAAAGGAAGTGAAAGGCGGGAAACAGGAGAAGGTGAAACAAGCAGCAGCAAAGGTAAAAGAAGCACAGAAAACACCACCGAAACTGAAGGAGAAAGAGAGCAGAGGGCTCGCAGCTGCATCGGAGCAGGAACAGAAAGGTAAACGCTCTCAGGAGGAGGCGGCTAAGAGAACACTGGGCAGGAAGCAGATACAGTGCAATTAAAACCCGAAAAAGACCGAATTGGACTTCAAAGAGGGGTCAAAGAGCTACACAATAAATACGTCTAAATGGATGTGAAGTGCAATTAATATTAATATTTATTGAGAGAAATACTAAAATGTGTTCACGAAGGTAAAATATAGATTTTGAAGTCTGCTTAAAGTGGTCTTTGAATTAGCATCTGGAGTTACTGAAGTGTTGGTGGTCAACACTGAATTCGTGAGAAAAAGAGTTATTCCGAAGAGGTGAAATCACAAGTAAACCATTGCATGTGTCATGCTGTAGAAACAGAAGCCATCCAGAAAGATGACAGCAACTTTCAGGGTGCTTGTTGAGGAGTCTATGTTCAAATCATAGTGATCAGTATCCCCCCCAAATCCTGCATACCTTTATAATGTCTCTGCAGGAGCCTATTATTTAGAACAAACATCAAACTATTAAATTAATTCAATTGAATAACATTCTTACTACAAATTAAAATCCATCCAATTGAATGACAAGTTATTGAAAAAAGAACTTCAAGATTCTACGAGTTTTCATTGATGAAATGGGTGACTTCAGAACATTGCATGTAACACGTTCACAACTTGTCTCCCGGGTGTCAGGGATATGGCGTTGGGACAGATGTGGAACAGGAACCACGGAAGGTGCTGCAGAGACATAAAGGGGTGCAGTGTGCTGAGGGTCACTGAGGGCTTTTGTCCCGCCCCCTTCCCTGAGGCCACCCCACTTCAGGGAGAGACATCCTGCAGCTGTCTGCCTGGCACACGGAGTCCGCTGGTGTGCTTGGCTCCTGTAAATGGTATTTTCTGAAGCTGCTGCAGAATAGAATTCTCTCTAACTCTGATAGCAACTGAATCATTTTATCAGAGGGCTGAAGTCAAACAATTGGTGTCTGTGAAAGCTTAACATTTAAAACTTTTGATACGTTGTTGAGTCAGCCTTATGGGTAGTGAAACTGACAATTTTCTCCACTGTAAGGTACATGATATAAAATTTGCAATCTACTCTTTTGCATTTTATTATTTCTTTGTATTTTTATCTTTTCCCCAAAATTAACAATATTTGTAAACTTTGATACACTGTACTATTATAAACTTTGATCCATATGACAAAAGATAAGTTATTTTTAAATTATATTTAAAGAGAAGGAAGAAAAGAACAAAAAGATTTTTTTATCCTTTTGGTGATTTGCAAACTTTAATTTAGGTGATTTGCATTTATTTCAACCTAATATTTTATGAATGAATTCGAACTTTAGAATATTAAGCTTTTCTTTCATTTTCAAAATGATTATACAGTCTTGAAAAAAACTTTAAGAATTAGTTATCCCTTTTTAAAGTATGCCATATTTGAGCAAACTTTTGTGTAGAAGGATGCAATAAATAAATTAAAAATTATTTTCAGTGCAATATTTTATTCTGATAGAAAATAGGAAAATTACTGTGAAGATTCACTGTTATGTTTATTTCGATCATAAAGTGCTTTGTATTTTAGATTGCCCTCTAAAGAAAAAGAATAACCACACGAAACCAGTTAAAACACACCAAATATATTTTAGTTTTTCATCTCCAAGTACAGCATTTAAAATGTGTGCCAGTTATATATAGGAATATCAAAATACTTATGAAGTAACTAGGAACATAAACATATTTTTGAATGTTTATTATCAGTATTTTGGGGGCTTACGGGACAAGTTTTATTGATAAAGGCATATCACCAAGATACTTTCCAATAATATTTAGTTTCCAAATCACAAATACTATATTTTATTCCTATCAGTAATCTGATTTGTTATTATATTACCATTCTATTTTCAATTTTGTTTTTATTTCTATGTGACAAGCTATTTACCTATTAAAATGACATTCAAATATCACACAGACTTATAAATGAATGTATAAATATGACTTTATCAGCTAAGCAAATGCTTTTGTTAAAGCAAGGCTCCCTGTTAAGAAGAGCTACCATCAGGAAAAAAAAATGAGAATCAAGACTTGTCATGTAGAGGTACAAGATCCCAACAATAAATGTAACAGTACTGTATCCCTAAAATGTACCAATAAACTCAATTAAAGCTGAAAAAAAAAAAAAAAGAAGAGCTACCATCACTAAAGTGAACGTACCACTAGGTTAGGTCAGGTTCTAAGAACTTAACCACTAGTGGCTTGTCAGATATATACATACTAATTTTTGGAAGAAACAATTTAAGAGCGTTTATTAATTTAAAAAAGAAAATAATCATAACAATATTCTAAATAGCAAGGTAAAGGTAGGACATTTTAAAAAGGTGTGAGGTGGTTTTGAGCTGGAGATTCTTGGTGTTAATGGCTTGGTAAAATGGAGTTAGTTCTTTGGTCAAGGAAATATTTACTTGTGTAGCTTCAGTGAGATCTAATGAGGTTGAGGTATTCTCTTCATTTAGCTTTGTAAATAGTTCAGCTAAACCAACAGTTCCCTTAGGTCTTTCACTCACGTGTAAACCTACGTGAGACACTGAGACAGGTGGACTGATAATTATTTAATTAGACAGTAAATACGTAAACATATTCAGCATTGAGAATAAGTTGCATGTGTCTGTACATCCTACCATAAATCCACACACACTAATATGTCACAGGACCAACTATATATAGACCCGTTTACGTCTATTTCTGGAGTGGTCAGAAGCATTGACTTGAACAGATGTTGCTCCTGCCTCTCTGGTATTTTCTGGAAATTCTGTGGAGGAGGAAAAGACAGTCTCCCAGCCATACACACATTGCTCATTTTCTTCTTTCTTTGTTTTGTTTCCTTAACACTTATTTATGCAGTTGAGACAAGGAGAGAAAGTGTAGCTAGCGAGAATCTTCCATAGAGCACCAGACCACACATACCCCACCCTCAGGAGCAATTATTCTTTAAAATCCCTTCAGGGTGACACTCTGGACCCAGAATGAGTTTTCCCTAAGCTACCCCTCCACAGGAAACATGGACACAGCAGCAGCATGAGGACATCTGCCTCAGCTACCTGAGGACCAAGAAAGGGAGACACAGACAAGTGCGCATTATCCTGAGAAGAGTGGGTATTTCGGGAAAAAAATACCTGAAAGCCATGGCCACATATGCAATTAACTCATTAAAATTATTGCACCCTATGAAAGACTGACAGGGTAATGCAGGCTTCTTTGGAAAAACTCTCCTGCTATATTATTTGAGGTGGATTTAAAGAGGCATTTCTAGAATACAAATCTTCCCAAATCAGGAAGGCTTGGTCTCATTCCACCTTTCAGCAGGTAAAGCAGACCCTAGAGCTGCCCAGTGCCTACCTTCCACCAAGCAGTTGACGCTTCCTTGTGTTACCAGAATGGCTGTCCTAACCTCAGATGTCTCAACTTTCTTAATTGAAAATATTCTTGAATATTCCTCTCAGAAATCTTGGTGACATTATTATGCTAGATCACAGGATAACTTACCAGAACCAAATCCTTTGAAGTATAGTAACTTGTTTTTCTAGATTGGAAAAAAGAAGTTCTTGGAATTTACACATATTTCCTTTACAAATTAGATGCTCCTTGGACTACTGATGCATTAGTTACATGAATGATTTTTGGAGCTGTACATTATTAGTATAATAAACACAAGCAAAATCCTTTAGTAAAAATTCCCCTTAAGTTTAAAAGTTTCATTACATCTAAATACTTAGTTGGAGTAGAAAGAGAAGTGTGATTTTACTTAATCCAGTATTCTATTCAACATTTCATCCATTATATCACCCCTTCACAACTGGGGCACAGAACGGTATTTTATCTGGGGGGTTTCTACAAAACCTTTGCATTATAAATAATTGCTGAATTCTGAAATTCAGACATTAAAAACAGAAGGCCTCACTCACTGAGCCAGAAGGCTACAGTGTTACTGCAAATCACTGTGGAAAGTAATGCAGGGGTCTACACTGTCACCTGTAGGGATTCTACACAAGTGGTGGAACTGGGCATCTCAGAGAGTCTTAAAAACGTGCATCCCTATCGTCCAGATCCATAGCGCAACAACTGCCTGGATGGTGGATTCCGGATTCCAATGTCTTGATGTCTCCCTTTCTGACATTCAGTTACCGCTTACAAAGTACTCACGAGTTACAGGAAGAACCTGAAAGTGCACTGACTTACAGTACTAAGTCAAAGAGGAAGGGCCGACAGTTCGCACTGGTTCCAGAACATTTTCCATTTAAGAATAGCGTCCCTCTCATCTTGTTTTGTCTTAGAACAAAAGCACCCACTCTAAAGGGAAATTTTATCCAGCAAAGGAAAAATACCACCTACGTTAATCTTACTCTTCCCCCACGCCTCAGCATACTCCGGTCCTGGGATCTGAAACTGTAGCTCTCACTGTCAATGTGCAAAAAACGAGGAAATTGGTGGACTCATCTGTGAAGGAGAATTCCACTCACTCCCACCTCACACGTGGGAAAATGTGCTCTATTTTATAATAAAATTGATTAAAGATAATGTTTAGTCTAAAAAGAACAAGGCTTACAAAAATCCTTGAATGTTTATTTATATAGTAGCAAGTGCTGTTATTTCTTGTTTGATTTACATATTTTGAAGGAATTGAATTGTGTCATGGTGTATAAAGTCAATAAACTTTTTGGTCCTAAAGATGCCTTTGGATTTGGTGGATTTTAGGAATATGAAAATATAAATAACAATGTAAGATATGTAAAATTTAAAAGAATATTCTAAGAATCTTTATCAGGGGAACCTTTCTCAATGGAGATTACAGGAAAATCTTAAATTGTGCGAGAATTTAAAGTTCAGTGCAAGATCTTTAATTTAAAGAAAAAATAATCTAGGCCCTGAAATTATTTTTGACAGTGCCTACCCCAAATGTTTATTACAGACTATGTATTTTGCTTTAAAAATTTTTTTCCCATTGGCCGTAGTCTAGTCAAACTCATAA